GTCTTTATTTTCATATTCTCCTAATATGTTTCCCCTTGGATTTACTTTTAAAATATTGAGCCACTCCCGCTTTGGTTTTTTCATGTATGGATAAGGAATAAAGCACACTTGTTACGCTTGAGATGCTGTTTGTAAATGCACCATATTTGGAGAATTAGATATTTGTATATTAACTAGAAAAACTAAATGACCATATATATATACCATACGTACCTAAAATAAAGGGTTCGTATTTGTAGTATTTCCTTGATGAAAGAACGTCGACAACACCACTATTGCTCCTCCGAGTACCTCTTCCGAGCTTAGGGTCATACCACGAACATTTAAAAAGTGTAATATTCAAACTGACCACCCCCTCATACTCAAGTTCTATGATATCAGTTAAGTTTGCGTAAAAATCTGCAGCGTCAAATGCATCCGTATAACTTTCACCTTTCACACATACACCATAGTTACAAGTCTTACGTCCAGCTCCATGACTCTGCGTATGAAACAAATAGCCTCTTGTAAAATACATTGGCCATGTTTTGACTTTGTGCAAAGGTCCATCGACTATCTCTTGAACCCAAGTTGGAAATCGATTACTAGAGTTCCAATATGTAACCTGTATGCAAATTTAGAAATAAACATCATTATAGATATGAATAACAATAAATAAATGCAAATCATATATAGATAAACTATTTACACATACATAATCTTTCACCCACACATGATATTCCTCGCCTCTTTTGACGAAGAGTTCTTTTTCGTTCAATCCTGGATATTTAATAGAAAGAAAATCTTCGAACATACTATAAAGATAAAAACAACATATAAGGGTTAGTAAACAAACATTTATAATTAAAAACCTAAAATGGGAGTATGAATTTTGTTATATACCTCTTAATTACTTGAAAATAATCACAATTTCGTATAACATATCCATGTGCGCATTGATAGTCTTCCTCTGATAGCCATACTTCACGTATTTCTCCACTTGGACGACCAACGGAACTAAATATATTAGGTACTCCAGGAACATGATATACAGGAACTTCACCCTCATTGAATCTTGTTAACCTGATCCAAAAGAGGTAATACATGGTTATTTTGGCGCATTGAAAAATTGCTTGGTGATAATACGTTTTTAAGTCAATTAATCCTAAAGCATTATCATGTCGTTGTAGTACTTAGGGTGTCAATCCAAATGGGTGTGATGCAAACAGATGAGATGTGATCAGAAGTCACTAAGTCAAGCCAAGAAATAACAGTTTTGGGGTTTCTAACAGTCCTAAGCGAACATGCAGAAAACAGAAACAATAACAGAATTACTAAAATCACTCGACCATAACAGGCTGATGCCAGAAGTAGGATGTGGTCGAGTAACAGACAGGATATGAAACATATATACTCGACTGCACAGTCTATTGCCAGACATTGGGTGTGGTCGAGTATACTGGTCGAGTAACAGACAGGAAATGAGAAAACTATACTCGACTGCACAGTCTGTTGCCAGACACTAGGTGTGGTCGAGTAAGTTGATCGAGTAATCGCAAAAACTAAGAAACAGACAATAAGAACGATTAAGTGATAACGATAAAACAGGAGAAATCAGATAGACGAGAAATTCCTAAGGATGGGGTAATCGAATAGAGTGGTATCCTAGCTTATTCGAATGGTTAGCAAGCCCAATCAAGCTATCCCTAGATAATAGGTTCAACAACAGATTAATTCACTCCCGTGATAGAAATCCTCAAGCAAAGCTAGCCCAAACTAGTTCCCATTAACGAAATCTAAGTATGCAGGCAATAAGAACAGACTGATAAAGTCAATAAACGCTCTAAACGGCCAATCCCTTGGGATAGAGACGAATATCTCAGGAACTAGTGGATCAAGCATTCCATCGAACACCTTCTGGGTGCAGGAATGCTTGGGATCAAATTCCAGTTGATCAGAAAGAAATAAGCAGTAAACGCAACTAGTCCTGAAGGGATTCAATCAATTCTAAAACTTAACCATTCTACAGACTACGGATTCCACAACTACTCTATCCCATCCTTAAGAACTCTATGTCACTACTCGGACAACATGCTCAAAGACATAAACGCAGGTGAATGATAATATTGCATAAGTAAAGAGATAAAGAGTAGAGAAACAAGATGAAAGATGAAATCAAATGCAAAATCTGAATAACTTGCAAAAATCTCGAATTACAGGTTGCAGAAGCAAAAGTGGCGTAGCCAGAGTAAAACAGAAAATAAAACTGAAGCAAAAACTCAATGTCGACTAGATGTCTCAGGACAGAACCCTAAGACATCTATTTATACAAAGCGAAATAAAATGATAGTAGACGGGCCATTAACCTAATCGCCCGACCCATAGAGTGATAATGGGCCGAGATGGGCGTTGTGATCCGATGGAGCTCCAGGCCGCTTCCAAACACTTCTTCTTCTCCTCTTCTCTTCCTTGTGCTCAGCTTGTCTGGTTGAGTGCGGATTTGAGTAGACTCCGACGATGTGATCGAGTGCTTGGTCGAGTGATGGTACTGGTGGTGAGTGATGATACTCGACCTGGGGGTCAAGTAATATGGTAGAGTGGACAGTCGAGGGTGGTCAGGTGGTATGGCGAAGTGATACCCGAACTGGGGGTTGAGTGGCGTCAACGAGTGGCCTGAGTTGAGGTTACTCGACCACGAGATCGAGTAGATGGGAAGAATGGCTCCAAAGTTACTCGACCAGGGGGTCGAGTTTGGTGCTGGATGTACACGGCCTGGAGGTCGAGTATGTCCTCTGATTCTGGCTCGCTTCTTCCACTTTGCTTGCCAACAGCTCCAAATCACCTGAAAATAACTCAAGATTGCAATATGTATGCAAAGCTATCCTAATCATGCAAAGTGTGCAAGAATGATGAGAAATGATATAAACAGTGATGAATGATATGAAACTAGACTCAAAATGATGATGAATGATCACTGAAAACATGCAAATTATAGACATATCAACTCCCCCAAACTTAGTCTTTGCTTGCCCTCAAGCAAATAAGAAGACATAGTTGAAGGAGAGGTTTGAAGGTGGGAACTCAGAACCAAAGCATCAAATAGAGCAAATAAAATCAATGTCCAAGTTGGTAGTTCTAAGATGCGATATGATCGAATTTTACTCAAAAACGTTAGCCATGCCTTGTTATCAATCAATCCGTCTCCTATACTCGACCTACACATGCTTTCAAATCTACCAATCCCTTTAACATTCATTAGTTCTGGAACGTGAATCAAGCAATGCATCATCAATGAACTCATTTGGCTAAGGTGAAGGTCAAGAGACAAAGATGGTCCCTTACAGAATAGGCTTCAGTAACAGGGGATCTCTCAAAAAATGATTGAGCTTTAGTAGAATGCTAAAGGTAAGTCCCAAGCTATGCATACAGAGATAAAATCCCATCTACCCAGAGTATAACAATGAAGCTCTAATGGTAATCCCAACTCCAATCCCAATACAAGAACTTAACTCTACCCTTTGCACTCGTGAATCTTTTAAACTCTTTTTCATATCATTCTTTTCTTTTCTCTTAACTCTAGGAGAAGCTTTCTCAACACTCTGATACATCTAGCGGATTTGGATTTATTTAACAACTAAGGTTCCTGTTTTTAATCTTTAAAACCAAAGGCTTTTAACCCTTCTTCTTTAGCTAACAAGAACCTCATTCTTTTCTCTAACATTCCCAAAACCTTTACTAGATTTTTTTTTTCTAAATTCTTTAGCTTACTTCCCCTAGAATTCTTTCCCTTTCCTTATCAACAATGAACTCACCCTTTTATTTTAAACACATCCCAACCCATGATATAAGCGCCCATCTAGTCCTATCCAGTCTGAAAAACGCGAACTAGAACTACATGAGATACTCTCTCTGTCGTTACGAACCTAACACTTTCTACCAAGCTCAATCGAAATAAGACCTCACAAACCCTCACAAGTGATATAGGGCTTGAAAGAAAGTTTAGGTTTTGGTTTGGGTTAACTGCTCTAATAAGGAGAGTCAGCTACTTGGACTAACAAGAGTGGTAAAAATGAGTAAGAAAATCCAAGTATTTTAGGGTATCCATGAGTTCAAATTCGATGCCAAGACATGATAATTCTAAATCAGATTCAAGTTCAAATTGATAGGAAATGGTATCAGATCCTAACAGTGTGGTCGAGTAGAGCAATCTAGGCATGATGCAGTTTTACTTCAATTTCATTAACTACGCATCAAACAATTAACAACGAGGGCACTGAGCTTATCTGGTGAACCAAAATGCTTACAAGGCTATCTCATCATTATCCCCTATGCATGTGCAATGCAACTACATGAACACTCTGTTTTTGTGAAATTATTTTCTGAAATTTTTCAATTTTTTTGTTTTTTTTTCTATGCCTTAAATGAATGCAGACTCAAGATTATATACAATTCAACACACACTTCCTGAGCCCTCTCCCAAACTTAAATCACATAGTCCACTATGTGACCAAATTTGGAAGAGAGTACTGAGGACAAAACACATCACAGAAACAAAATAAAAACAAGAGATGGTATATTACAATGGTGAAGTGATGTGCTTACCTCAGTGGAAAAAGGAGCGGAGTTGGTCGTCAATAACTGCCTGTGATTGCTCCTAGGCCATCGAAGAATCTCCTTGTTGTGTCTCAGCTTCCCCCCTGGGGGTACTCGACCTCTACTACTTCGTCGCGGTCAGCACCGCTCTGATGATACTCGACCTCTCTTCTTCTGCTGCAGCCAGCACCACGGTCACATAAGCTACGGGACTGGAGAAGTCGTGTACTCCTGCTGCCAGACCGAGCCAGTGCAGCCTTGTTCTTTCTCCCGAGCTCCCGAGGCTCGAATGATGAATGCCTCGTAGGGACCTGTGAGACTACTCGGTCACTAGGCTCAGGCCTGTGGTGACTTGGCTCAGGCCTGTGGCGACTTGGCTCTGGCGCGTCATATCTCCTCGAGGGCATGACCTGAGGAGGCTCTCCCTGCGGAATAGCTGTGGTAGAAGAGGAGCAACTTAGCTTGTCTGTCAGAAACTTGATGAGTAGCCTATCTTGTTTCTTGCACCACTTCTGCAACTTGTTATTGTTTCTGTGAGCTTCGCTCAAGCTCTTGCTCTCCCTCGCTGGGGGTACATGCTCACTGAAATGATACATGCTCGTATCGTTCTCCTCTTCCCTATCCTCATCTGTCTCAGCAATCTCATCCTCTGTAGCTTCTGTTGTAGGGACATTGTCATCAGTCGGTGGAGCGCTCTCAAAGTAGAGGTAATCACGCGCAGGCTTGAAGTCAATGTTTTCGCCCTGGAATATGGTTGTGGCCTCAGTGCAGGGAAGCAGAATGTTGGTTGTTCGGGTAAAGGAGTGCTCGAATTTGTAGCGATAAAAATCGCCGACCATGTCGTGCTCCAGAAACTCACAACGACGCAAGTGATCTAAGTCCATCATCCTCGGATCGAACCCTGGAGACGTGAAAGGTACACCACACAAAGGGCTCCTCGCGACCTGTTCTTCCCGTTGGTGTGCGCCCACTTCCTATATCCACACAGGTGGATCAACAGAAGCATAACCGGTGGTGCATCATTGAGGTCGCCCTTCAGGCCCTTCTTCCCCTTTGTGCTGCGGAGAATGCCCTTGAGTGCAAAATCAATCATCTCCATGTCTGTGTTAGACACGGTGCCTGTAGATTCCCTAGAGTACAGAATATTCGCTACAGAGCGTTGATAGTAGCGGATCACAGTGCTTCAAATCTGGTTACTCTTGGACCTCGCAGAGTTGAGCGCCATATCGTTCCCAATAGTTAACCACAAATCCTTCAACTCTTCCCTCTCGAACTTGGGTTTAGTTCCCTTTCCACTGGGGAAACCAAACAATCCTTCCAAGCTCCTGATAGATAGCTGGTAACGCTGCTCGCTCACTGAAAAAGTCAAGAACCCCAACCCTTCACTCTCCAGCTCATCTACTGTAAGTCCGTGATACATCTACACTTGTAGAGTGGAGAGAAACTCTATTGTTTCCTTCTTGTAGGTGACGTACGGGTAAGACATTAATGTCTCCAGATGACACTTCTCAAATAAGTGCTGTACGTCCTCCAGTAGCCCCAGCTGGGCTAAAGTCTGATAACAGGGGTACCTCGTTCCCCAGAAGTCGTTCAGCTCAAAAATTCTGATGTACTCCTCCACTGTAACTTCATTGGGCCTGTTCAACAGCTTCGTCTCTCTGGGCCATGACTCAGGCTCATACTCGACGTCAATATCTTCGTCGATCAATGCATATCTACTGGTCATTGCTCTTTTTCCTCTAGCAATCTCAGCCCTTCTTTCATTGCGTTGAGCTACTGAGCGTTGGGTGTCAGCTCTGAAACTCTCATAAGCTTGTTGCTCTCTCTCCGGTCTAGTTGACCAAGACTCAGCTTCATCGATGTTGTAATCCGCATCCATAGAGGACTCGCCACTGTAGTTACTCATATTGATTTCCTGAAAAAAATGCAACTCAAACTAAACGTTAATATGTTAGTTTCAATAAGTAAAGAGACTGGCCGAGTATACCAGTCGAGTAAACTGGTCGAGTACATTGAAATTGTTGCTTCGAGTTTTGCGGTTTTGCGGTCGAGAGAAAGCGAATGAGAGACGGCAACGATGTGGTCGAGTAAATGGAGGTGATGAGAGTAGGTGAAATCCGGTTGACCGATTGAGAGGCGTGGAGAGATGAGCGGTCGAGTAGATTGGAGGAGGCTTGAACGGTGAGGAGGGAGAGGTCGAGTTATGGTCGAGTGAGAAGGAGAGAAAAAAGCTCTGGCGGTTTGTTGGAAATCAAGTGAAGAGCTCTTAGTCGGAATTGTTGCGTGGTCGAGTAAGGAGTGTCCGAGGTGCTCCTACGGTCGAGTGAAGAGGAGAGGAGAGCGGTGAGAGATGATGAAACCGGTCCTGTCGTCGAGTGAAAGAGAGAGAGGGCGGTGGCGTGAGCGGCGAGGGCTGTGTCGTGGTCGAGTGAGAAGGGAGACAAAGCGGTGAGAGATGGTGAAGCCAGAGCGGTGAGATCGAGTGAGCGGTGAGGTCGAGTGTAGTGGAGAGGTCGAGTGTTTGGAGAGGAAGAGAGATGGTGTCGATGGGAAAGGAAAGGGGATTAGGATCGAGTGGTTGGGAAGGAGGGAGGGGATTTCCTCATCCTTGGAAACGCGTGGGGAAAAAAAAATGAAGAGGTGGTGGGCCACGCTCTGTCTGTTTGTCCTGAAGCGTTGTTCCCTTTTTATTAGAACCTTCTGTAATCCTCTGTAAACTTGATAAACTCCCTGTAAGTCTCTGTAGCTTCTGTTGGTCGAGTATAAGTACAATTTCAAAATTTTGGTTTTTAAAATCATCACTAATACTCGACCAACCTACTCGATCTCATGGCCTCTAAGTGCAATAGAAGTTTTTCAAATTCTTGAATTTCTGACATACTCGATCCCCTGTTGCTCTGTAGAATAAAATTTTTGAATTTTTACTCTACCTCCACGCTCTTTCTCTGTTCCTGAGAATCACAAATACAACCAAAAGCAAATAAAAAATAACAAGGAAACAAAATTTTTATTTACAGGAACAGTCTTGGGAATTCCTCCTAAGTGAGCTTGTTTAAAGTCTCTAACTTGACTCCTCACACTCATTAAGAAGAAAATGGGTGATAGAGAGGATCTGCATAGTCCTCTCTGATCTCATCATCAAATTCAGCATCCTCTCTTGAGAGATGAGTAGCAGAATACTCAATTCCTCTTTCCTCGAAATAGGCCTCTTTCTCTTCTGGTGGATAATCTAACTCTTCAGACCATCTTGAAGTAAACTTTTTTCTCGGGATAGTATCAATCCCGCATTTTGATTGAGCTTTCTCTTGCATCTGATCCAGTTTACTCTTAAGTTCCTCAACTGTCTGAGCTAGCTTCTCTATGGTTTCTTCTTGCTCATCAGATTTCTTTTTGAGATCTCGCAAGTCAGGTGTAGAGGTTGTGCTTGGTCTGGTGATTGAATTCGAAGGTTGAGGTTGAGCCCTGATCTTTTCTTTTACAGCTGTCCTTTGCGAAGTTTCGTTGATATCAAACTGCAGCTTGATGTGCTTCCCAAGGTTGAGACTTATACTCCCGTCTTTGACATCTATCATTGCTCCCACTGACGCTAAGAAAGGTCTCCCTAGGATTAGAGGATCCTTAGGTTCTACTTCCATCTCAAACACAACGAAATCTGTAGGTACTTCCACTCCATTAATCATTACTGGCAGATCTTTTAGCAGGCCGAAGGGTTTTCTTGAAGACCTATCAGCAAGGATCAAAGTCAGGTCGCAAGGCCTGTACTGAGTGAATTCCAGCTTCCTTCCCACGGAGAGTGGCATTAAGCTTACTGAAGCTCCCAAATCACATAGACAATTGCTGAAAACCAATTGACCAATGGAACATGGTAAAGTGAAAGTTCCAGGATCTTCCAGTTTTTCTTGAACACTCCTCTTAACAGTGGCCCTAGACGGATTAGCATCACATTCGTCTTTTGAATCCTGATAAATCTTGATCCTTTCCAGAATTGAATTTCTCACATCTTTGTGAGGATCCGAGATCAGGTTGAGAACTTCTATTAGAGGCATCACCGCTTCCATCTCATCAAGCTGCTTTTCTACAAGAGAATTTTATCTTTCTATCCATGCTTTCCTGAATTTCCATGGAAGAGCACGTGAAGGTAATGGTGCTGGCTTGAATCTTTTTACGATCCTCTCAATGATGACTGCTTGTCCCTGGAGAATCTGTTGTAACATGTTCTTCAAGTCTGAATCTGGAGTTGTTGAAACTGGTAGTTGTTGCTACTGTGTGAACCCAGGTGGTGGAAGTTGCTTCAGATAGTTGCCCTGGTACTGCTGCTTAGTAACATACCCCTGACCTTGGTTGTATGGAACAAAGGGCTTGGGTTGATTCTGCTGCTGTGAAGGGTAGACTTGGTCTTGTGGGTTTGCAACATTTGTACTTCTGTAAGACAGATTGGGATGGTTCTGCTTGAAGTTGTTGAAACCTTTGTTGTAACCTCCTTGGTTCTGCACATAGCTGACCTCTTCTGACTACAGAGTCTCCCCATCCTGGACTTGGAACGTCTCATCATCACCCAGAAAATGAATGTGCTTCTGTTGCACAAGGAGTAGCTTGTCCAGTTTGTCATTCATAGCTTTCATTTCCCTACGGTGCTTCTCATCAGAATTAGAGCTGTGGCGGATGCTTCTATCGTAATCTTCATTGTAGTTGCCATCCGACTGTGCCAAGTTCTCTACCAGCTCCCATCCTTCTTCAACGTCTTTGTTGAGGAAGTTCCTGTTAGAAGCGGTATCAAGAAGCATCATGATCTTGGGAAGGACACTTTTGTAGAGAGTGCTGAGAAGTGAAGCTTTGGAGAAACCATGATGAGGACATTGCGTCTGATAACCTTGCGCTCCCATGCTTCACAAAAGGTCTCATTATTTGTGTGTGTGAAAACTAAAATATCATTCCTTAGTCTCGCAGTCCTGGAGTTTGAGAAAAACTTAGTTAAGAAGGCTTTCTTGCAGTCATTCCAGGAGGTGATAGAGCCTTGAGGAAGCGACTTTTCCCACTGATGGGCTTTGTCTCCAAGAGAGAATAGAAAAAATCTGAGCTTAAAGCCATCCTCACTAACTCCATTGATCTTTGTTAGGCTGCAGAGCCTATCAAACTCGTCCAGGTGATCGAGTGGATCCTCCATAGAGAGGTCGTGGAACTTGTTGCTCTGAACCATGGCAATGAGACCGCTCTTGATCTCAAAGTTGTTGTTCTGCACTGGTGGAGGCACGATGCCAATACGCTGATTATGGTTGCGTGGTGCATCGCATGCACCGATGTTGTTTGGTTGCACTTGCTCATCTACAACTGCAGCCATTGTGTCTGTTTCTGTCTGTATTCTGTCGTTGGTTGCATTATCATGTCGTTGTAGTACTTAGGGTGTCAATCCAAATGGGTGTGATGCAAACAGATGAGATGTGATCAGAAGTCACTAAGTCAAGCCAAGCAATAATAGTTTTGGGGTTTCTAACAGTCCTAAGCGAACATGCAGAAAACAGAAACAATAACAGAATTAGTAAAATCACTCGACCACAATAGGCTGATGCCAGAAGTAGGATGTGGTCGAGTAACAGACAGGATATGAAACAGATTTACTCGACTGCACACAGT